CTGTATAGTAAAATGGCTTTCTTCATAGTCTTTTGCCAATTATCTGACTTCTTTCCGGATTACGACAAAGTTTGTCTTTGACGAGTTTTCGAAGGGCAGATGTCCTCGCAGTTCTTTCCCGCCTTCCTCTTGGGCGATTTTCAAGTCGTCCAGTCTCACTGAAGCATTTTATTACTCGGTGTACTTGCTCTATGCAGTTTGAGTTTCTTCGAAATCTCGGTAACTGACAAGCCGCGCTTCTGCATAGTGACTATTGCAGAACGATCATCAAACCATTTTCACCTGAGGAAAGAGTATAAGACTGACCAAAGTAGGACTAAAAAACGAGGAAAACGAATAACACCAAATCAAAGTAAAAAAAAAAGTTTAAAAATGCCAAAAATGGATTTTTCTTAGCCCGCCACACTTCATGTGGACCACCCTGTATTTCATGCCTTTTAGATAGTCAATGGTATTTTTGCTGTTCATTACAAAGTGTTTACAGGGCACCAGATGTTTTGGTCTACTCCCAAAAAGCTTCTATACCTTTAAGACAATCTAATTTGTAGGGAGGGAAACAAATCTAGACTCCAACAGCGAGAATTAGAGCCACACCGACTTACTCAATAGTGTCTCTTAAATGATTTTTAAAAATAAAGTAAATTTTACTTGAACTCACTTAACATTTTTTTGCAAACGGCAATAAGATAGCGAAGAAGCAAAACATGATTTTGTTTCCCCATTCGGTTTTAGCTTCTTATAGCTTTTTGTGTCTTTTTTGTGCAAGCCATCTGACATTATTACGTCCATAATTTTTTTGATGATGGTAAATTGCAGTGGTACTTATGAATTGAACTGTTTAATAGCAGTGCATGTGAGGATTATCTAGTTAAGAACCAAATGTAGCAATAAATATTGGATAGGTTTTACGACTTTGTAGCTGGCTCGTCTAAATCGGAGGAGTACTTGCGAGATTGATATTTGTGATCCCTGGAAAATATGAAAGCAAAACAACTTTTAAGCGAATGATAAACACAAGGTATGCTCAGCCGGTTTGCTTTTCACAGTCAGGGATTTTCACTATAAAAGAATGCCAAATCTCGTACACATATTTTCTCTTATGTTGATTATTTTTGCTAGATATTATTTATTGCAGATGCACGTGACTGCACTATTGCTTATGACCATTTTGAGCAGTGTCAGTGTCTGTTTCTCAGGCCTAATTACTGATCTGAACTGCACACGCGTAGATACTCCAGCAGGAGCAGCAGCGAAAATTGTGGTTTGTTCGATTCTAATATATAGACGGACA